GTCTGTCATCATATTGGTGCCAGATTGTGCGAGTGTTCTATATCATCCTTTTGGTGATAGGCCTGCATCCTTTTGGTGTCGGGATTAAGTGCGTGTGTTGCTCTATCATCCTTTTGGTGATAGGTCGGTCATCATTTTGGTGCCAGAGTGTGCGAGTGTTCTCTATCATCCTTTTGGTGATACGCCTGCATCCTTTTGGTATCGGGATTGTGTGCGTGTGTTGCTCTATAATCCTTTTGGTGATGGGTCTGTCATCCTTTTGGTGCCAGATTGTGCGAGTGTTCTCTATCATCCTTTTGGTGATAGACCCTACATTCTTCTGGTGTTGGGATTGCGTGTGTGTGTCGCTCTATCATCCTTTCGGTGATGGGTCTGTCATTCTTTTAATGCCAGATTGTGCGAGTGCTCTCTATCATCCTTTTGGTGATAGGCCTGCATCTTTTTGGTGTCGGGATTGTGTGCGTGTGTCTCTCCATCATCCTTTCGGTGATGGGTCTGTCATCTTTTTGGTGCCAGATTGTGCGAGTGTTCACTATCATCCTTTTGGTGATAGAGCCTACATCCTTTTAGTGTCGGGATTGTGTGCGTGTGCCACTCTATCATCCTATTGGTGATAGGTCTGTCATCCTTTTGGTGCCAGATTGTGCGAGTCTTCTCTACCATCCTTTTGGTGATAGGCCTGCATCCTTTTGCTGTCGGGCTTGTGTGCGTGTGTCGCTCTATCATCCTTTTGGGGATGGGTCTATCATGCTTTTGGTGCCGGATTGTGCGAGTGTTCTCTATCATCCTTTTCGTGATAGACCCTACATCCTTTTGGTGTCGGGATTGTGTCCATGTGTCACTTTATCATCCTTTTTGTGATATGTCCGTTATCATTTTTGTGCCAGATTGTACGAGTGTCCTCTATCTTCTTTTTGGTGATAGGCCCTGCATCCTTTTGGTGTCAGGATTGTGTGCATGTGTCGCTCTATCATCCTTTTGGTGATGAGTCTGTCATCCTTTTGGTGCTAGATTGTGCGAGTGTTCTCTATCATCCTTTTGGTGATAGACCCAACATCCTTCTGGTGTCGGGATTTTGTGCTTGTGTCACTCTATCATCCTTTTGGTGATAGGTCTGTCATCATATTGGTGCCAGATTGTGCGAGTGTTCTCTATCATCCTTTTGGTGATAGGCCTGCATCGTTTTGGTGTCGGGATTAAGTGTGTGTGTTGCTCTATCATCCTTTTGGTGATAGGTCGGTCACCATTTTGGTGCCAGATTGTGCGAGTGTTCTCTATCATCCTTTTGGTGATACGCCTGCATCCTTTTGGTATCTGGATTGTGCGCGTGTGTCGCTCTATCATCCTTTTGGTGATGGGTCTGTCATCCTTTTGGTGCCAGATTGTGCGTGTGTTCTCTATCATCCTTTTGGTGATAGACCCTACATTCTTCTGGTGTTGGGATTGTGTGTGTGTGTCGCTCTATCATCCTTTCGGTGATGGGTCTGTCATTCATTTGGTGCCAGATTGTGCGAGTGCTCTCTATCATCCTTTTGGTGATAGGCCTGCATCCTTTTGGTGTCCGGATTGTGTGAGTGTATCTCTCCATCATCCTTTCGGTGATGGGTCTGTCATCTTTTTGGTGCCAGATTGTGTGAGTGTTCACTATCATCCTTTTGGTGATAGAGCCTACATCCTTTTTGTGTCGGGATTGTGTGCTTGTGTCACTCTATCATCCTATTGGTGATAGGTCTGTCATCCTTTTGGTGCCAGATTTTGCGAGTCTTCTCTATCATCCTTTTGGTGATAGGCCTGTATCCTTTTGTTGTCGGGCTTGTGTGTGTGTCTCGCTCTATCATCCTTTTGAGGATGGGTCTATCATGCTTTTGGTGCCGGATTGCGCGAGTGTTCTCTATCATCCTTTTCGTGATAGACCCTACATCCTTTTGGTGTCGGGATTGTGTCCATGTGTCACTCTATCATCCTTTTTGTGATATGTCCGTTATCATTTTTGTGCCAGATTCACTACAAGAAAAACGATGGATTGCGACGGTTATTTTGGCAGGTTACGACAGTTAAAACCACCACCAATTACATTCTACGACGGTTGTAGTACCGTCGTAGAAACGTGTGTCCCCAGGCTGTTTAGCGACGGTTGAAAAACCCGTCACACACAACCGTCGTTATATTTTACGACGGGCTTGAACTGACCTAAACTGGAGATAGCGACGGTTAAAGACCGTCGTTACTAGCCTTTTGATTTTTATTTTCATTGTTGATTGTGACGGTTTAAAACTGTCGTGAACTCTATTTCACGACTGGTTGGAACTAACATAAATTGGAAATGACAACAGTTAAATACTTTCGTGAATATCCTTTTGATTTTTGTTACCATTGTTGATTGTGACGGTTTAAAATTGTCGTGAATGTGATATCTTGACGGTTCATTATTAATTTTTATATATTGTTTTATAATATATTCTTTTATTTAAATTATTATCTACTAAAATAGTTATATTATTTTTTCTTTAAATTATTTATACAATAATATTTTAATTTATAGTTTTTTTTTTAATTTTTTTCTATGGCTTTTTAGCGTAGTAAAATTAATTCCAAAACTTAATATCAAATAAACATTATAATATCGAAAAAACGTGAGTTTCATAATAATGTAAAATGAAAGTTCCATAATCATGTCATGTAATACAAAAATCCAAAAACATATCAAATCATAATCTTATAAAATAAGTATCATTGTGGCAAAAATGAATAAGTATCATTGTGCCAAAAATGAATAAAGAATTGTCATCAAATTTTACAAGATCTTGTGAAGCTGCTGTGACCTCAGAAGCCTTTACTAATAGATCAGCTGCAGGCGAAAATCCGACAACCCTTCTCACAATAAGGTGGCGATAGTAGTCCTGGACAGCCTGAAATTTCAAAAATTAAATGAATGAAGATTAACCATCACAACTCCTTATTGTTTTGCCAACACAAAAAAATTATCGAGATAAAAAATGGATTAAAAAATAATAATATTGATGGGTTATAAAAATTGGGGATCCCGTTCAGAAAAAGAGTACTCCCCATTCATAGTAAATATAAATTTTGTTCATTTTCAGCTACAAACTTACCCAAAACCATGATATGTAAATTAGAGCTGCAAAATCTACAAAACTTCAATAGTACTAATGATAAAAAGAAATACAAGCTACAGACTTACTTGCCACTGAGAGGAAGCTAAAAGCACTCTCGACCGAATTGACTTTACATATTCATATGCAGCATCAGGTGACATCAATTTGTAACTAAATCAGGGAAAAACGTCAAAAACAATAACAAACAAGTGTATAATAACTAAATTGTAATGAAGCATAGTTATTACAAGCCTACGATTAGATGAATTTTATAACTACTCTGAGTTCTATTTAGTTTTACCCGAAAGTGAGAGGTGAAAAGACTTTAAGAAGGGTAGAAAAATACAGTTACAAATGAGCATAATTACTAAATTTAAAATGAGAAACATTGCTATTATAAGCCTACCAGTAGATGTGTTTTACAACTTCTACATACATATGAATTTTTTCTGACTTCTATTATTATTATTAATAATTATTTTTACCCAGGAGGAGGATGGTGGAAAGAAGTAAAGCTCAAGAGTATAAAATACACTGCACAAAGTATACAAAGAAACATCCAACACATTATATCTAATCAGGTCAAGAACTACGCAACATTCTAAATTTTCACCAAACTTGCAGTTTCAGGACATACCTTACGATATGAATGTAGAAGTGTTCTTTCTAGTTTTTTGTCAAGCTTTTCCAAAGGCAGCCCACTGGAAAAATTAATCACAAAAGGTTTCACGTCAAGACAGAAGCTTTGGTAAAAGCAATGCCATAAGTACAACTAACAAAAAAGACACGTTAATACCTCTCTTCTATCACAGCTCTGAATGAAGACATGAATGTTTCCACCCTCTATTGTATTGAATATTCAAATATTAGTTGCAGCATCAAAAATCAAACAGAAAAAATAAGTTTCAAACTATAACAAGATATTTCCAGCCAACCAGCTGCAATTGTGAACTGATAAATCATTGAGTGAACCTATACAATAAGCCTTAACCATAATGTTTCAGAAATAAAAATGCTAACCTTTCCTTCCAATGCTTCTACAACAGCAAGAGCCTTATTTGCAAGAGCTCATGGAAAACTCTTGGACTACAAAAGAAAATAACAATAAATGTAATATTTGAAGTCATTTTATGTGTTCCACAAAAGAAGATGGTTTACAAATATCTAAGATTCTATATACTAAAAGCATCAGAAAAGAAAAGCACAACTTTCCAAGTAATGCAATATTGAAAACCTAATATAGCTATTGTTCACATTCAAAATAGAATTAAACATCATTGTATCATAGAATTCATTGCATCTTAAGATTGATAGTATCATGTGAAATTATGTTTGCTTTGATTAAACTTGTAAAATGTATTCATTCTGATTCTGATTATAGACATCATTATGCAGAGTATTATCATTTCATATTTTGCTCTCAAGTCTTACAATTGCAGCTCTATCTCCAGGACTAAACGAAATAGACTCAGAATTTGGAGATTCCTGCACTTCTACTCCGTTCTTTAATTTGTTGTGCTCATCCTGCAAAAGGATGAATCCATAGTGGTTTTAGATCTTATTAAACCTCAAGAAATATCAACAAAATAATTGTTGTATATAATACCAAGTCATGAAGAAGCATGTCAACCATAGGAGCTGCTACTGTCCTTAGTAAATGCCTATGCAAAACAACCTGGGCATCAAAGATACATTAAGTTACTCTTGTTTCAACAATGAAAATAACATCTTCAAATTTCAATTAACTTGACTTACAGAAGTATCCTCTAAGAAAAGATAAGAAAAGTTACAAACATGGACACAGTGGATGAAGAAAGTACAAAAAGATACTACAGAGCAGTTAAACCTCATCAAGTTTTTTCTGCAAATTATCAAGCAATTGTTTCATTCTTTCTGCATTGTCTTTAAACAATGCCTTCCTATGAATCGTTTCAGGATCATCAAAGGCCTAAGAATCGTTTCAGGATCATCAATACCTATCAATTTGTAGCACATAATTTAAGAAATTCAATAAAATGCTAATGCAGAAAGAGTATATCCAAAGTCATAATTAGCAGACCTTGTTCTTCAAAATCAGGAATCAAGGCTGTAATCTTCTCCATGATCCATTCTTCTGAGGGACTAATGAGATTATCCTCTTTCATTTTAAGTGATTCTTTCCTAGAACCTTGCTTTGAATCTGATGTTTGTGAAGATGTATCCTTACCCCTTCGCTGGCTTTTCTTAGATTTGGTAGAAGTATGCTCTTGGTTATTAGCACCACTTTCAGGTTGATTTGCTAATGCATTTCCAGTGGCTTTCCCTTTTTTCTTCTTTGGTCCTTTATCAGCATGCTTGTTGGAACCACCGTCACTTGCCATTTAACTGGACTCACTCAACCTGCTTGAATCATACCCTGCTTTTACTTCATTGGCTATTGGTAAATCACCAGGTTTTACAGAACTTGAAATTATCACCGTTAAGCGTCGATGCTGTAACATTCATTAACATGATGGAACAGAACTTGAAATCCAAAAGCAGGGCAGCATACAAAGTGCAGATCAATCATAACAGACAACAGTACCAGCGTCGAGTGCTTTTTGTCCTGTAATGAGCTCCAAAAGTAATATACCGAATCCAAAAACATCTGTTTTTTCAGAAGACTGACCAGTTGAGAGATACTCGGGCGCAATGTATCCTACAGTGCCACGTACTGCAGTAGTTACATGTGAATCCCTTTGATCCAAGAGCTTAGCAAGACCGAAATCTCCCACCACGGCTTCAAAACTTTCATCTAACAAAATGTTTGCGGCCTTAACATCTCTATGGATTATTTTCGGATTGCATTGTTCGTGCAAATACAGAAGCCCGCGTGCAACTCCAACAGCAATGCGTGTTCTCCTGTTCCAATCCAAACATGGCTTTCCACGGAAACTCTCTGCTTAGGAATAAGAGAAACGAGAAAATCTATTAAACTTTAGGGACAGTACACTAGATCGTAGCAAAGGGAATATTACAAACCTCTCAAGCGATCAGCAACACTTCCGTTCGACATTAATGGATAAACGAGTAACCTTTCATCTGGTGTCATACAAAATCCATAAAGATGCAAGAGATTACGATGTACAGCCAAGCCAATCATCTCAACTTCGGTTTGAAACTGCACTTCTCCGGTATAATTGGGATCTTTCAGCCTCTTTACCGCCACCAGTATTTTGTTTGCAAGGCATCCTTTGTATACAACACCAAAACCACCTTGTCCTACGATATTTTTCAAAGTGAAATTTTCAGTAGCAACTTGCAGTTCACGGAAGGAGAACCTCTTCAAATGACCAATACCGAATTCGCAATCTTGCTCCACTTTAAATGTCAATCAGTACATATCAGAATATGTGCATATTTTGAAGAGAATAAAAAAGCAAAGAAGTTTGTTTCTGGAAGTACCGTAAGATGAATAGAGGATACGTGATTTGTACTAATGCAACCAATAGACGAGCAGCATCACTGAAATTACAAATGTGCAACTAATTCCAATAATGACCGAAATCAACGTGTGGCGATGACTGTTGACTGTTTGAGAAGATCTTGTATCTGAAAGTGAACCATCTTTCATTTGTATTTCAATTCACTAACTTAATAGGGTTTTGAAAGATGCAAGATTAATGTATATTACCGTTTACCAGCTTTGAACCGCACATACAAAGTTGTGAGGATGATGTACAAAGAAAGTTATTTCCTGAAATACTACAAAGATATAACGTAGCTAGCTCAGTTCGTGAGCTATGGAATACGAAAATGTTTTACACTCGAAGTCTAGAGTTTGAGTCGAATCTTATGCCATTGAAAAACTTACCTATAGCCTTTTGCTAAAATTTTGGGAGTAGGACCAATGAGATTGTTGAATGACAAATCCCTACAACATGTAGAAGGTTTATTAAACTAAATTATAAGTATTTAAAATGAAAATAAATGCACACAAAACTGCAACCGAGCACATACAAGAAGGAAAGTCCTGTGAGATTAGCAACAGGTTGAGGGATCTGTCCAGATAGCTTATTTTTGCTGAGCCGCCTGAAATTCTTGGCATGAACAAATTAGGAAGTTAACAGTTAGAGAAAGGATAATGATGAGTTATGTTATATAACAAAAGAATCATCGTCGCTAAATCTATTCGTCAAGCCACACTCACAAGTAACTAAATGAGTCAAGGAGCCCAAAGAACTAGGAATGTTCCCAGTAAGAAGGTTGCCAGAAAGATCAAGAGTCTGAAGCTCTGGTAGGTTTCCTATCTCGACCGGTATAGGACCAGATAACTGGTTGTTCTGCAAAAACCTAAGATAATACAATGGAAAAACTCACTTATAAGAAAAACTTTCCACATTTCCTAACAAAACTGTAAATAAAGTAAGTGCAGAACATTCAAATAGTAGCTCACAATGTTCGAAGATGGCTCAAATTTCCAATTCCTGAGGAAATTACTCCAAATAAACCTGCACTGGCCATTTCCCTGACAATATATATGTTTAATAATCAAGATTATACAGAAATAACAGGCAAACAGGCAATAAGATGCATCACTACTCCTTTTTAGATGGCAAAACCAATTCTCTTAAAAATTACATCCATTGGCCATAAAGACAAAACACTCATAGCCTGAGCCTTTGTACTCTCAGTAACAGATTCACCGGTGCTAGAAAACCAAAAGTGTCAAAAAGCGAATGCTATGAAAGCAAGTTGATTGTTGAAAGACACTTTCTCGTGACACTTTACAATTGAAGCTAGAAAATGGAATTTTGCCTCTAGAATTGAACTTTAGTCTATTGAACTCACTTTTACATAATCAATTAATTCAAAATCAATTTCTTGTGAACCCATAACCAAACACAAACTAAGTGATATAAACCAGAAAAACACTTACAAGGAAATGACATAACCCTCAGAAGAACAAGCAACCATGTTCCAAGTACAAGGGTCTACCAAATTAATATCCCAACCATCCATAACATGCAACCCATCATTCATCTTACTCTTCATAGACATCAAAGAAGCCACTAAACAAACATGTATACAACTGAAACCAATTTAGTTCAAACAATCTCTCACCTATAAAAAGGAATAAACTTTGAGAAAATGTGAATGAAAAAACCTTCATAGTTGACACCTTTTGGAGAGAGAAGACTTTAAGTACCCTCAACAACGAATGACACCAAACTCCATAGAAAAATCAAGAAAACAAGCCAAGTAATCACTTTAACACCTTCCATGTAACAAAAAGGCTGATTCTAGCAGTGGGAAAGAACAAAGTTTGAAACTTTTTGAATGGATCTTCAGTTAAAAGGAAGCAAGTGAAACCCTTTTGCCTTGAGAGAAGTGAGATTGAAATGGTGAGTTGTACGTAAGATCAGGAAGAGAGCTCGTGATTTGGGAACATGGCAGTGTTTGCCGCATGGTTATGATTCTGTGAGAGTGATCACGTGAATGTTGTACTATGGAAGTGTCGTGTTTTGAGTCAGTTGAAAGTGTTGGATATTTTTGTTTTAAGGTTGTGATTGTGATTCAACGGTGGAGATTTAATAGGTTGTTTGAGTATTACGAGTATTACAATAACGAAAATAATAACGAAAAAGAAAATCGATTATCCCAAATTGAAATTTGGGGATCGCGGAGTCGATGATGGAAACCTAAAAATTCAAAATTCTACAACAACAATAACAACTGAATCGAGGAAAACGAGAGAGAGAAAAAGAGGTTGATTCATAAAATAGAAAATTTCCATGATCTATCAGAAGATGGATGAGTGGTTGTTAAAATCTGCAAGGACGCGAGCGGCAAATTCTTAAAAAGAAGTGAAAAATCTGTGGAAATAATTCTCATTTTTTGCGGGAAGATGAAATGTTGGAGCACGACGGTTGGATATCACCGTCACAGATGAAATTTTGACAATTTTGAACTAACGATAACGACTGTAGCTTCCAGTCATAATACAGTTTTATTTTAATAAATTTTTTTATTTCTCTATTTTAATTGAATTATTTTGTTTATTTATATTTTATAATATTATGATTATGAGTATATATAGTTTAATTTTATATTTAATTTTTATTATAAAAATTGTTTTTAAAATTTTGATATATAATTTAATTTTAATACTTTAATTTTGGATATAATATTTTGAATTTAATTTTTACTATAAAAATTGTTTTTAAAATTAAAGTTTTATTTTGAGTATATATAATAATTTCATTTTTATGTATTTTAAGTTTAATTTATTACTATAATTATATTTTATAAATAATTTTAGTCATTTATTTATTTAAAATACATAGACTTATTTAGATCCGCCATTGGTTATAGTTTGTGTTACTGGGTTTAAGGGACGACAGTTGTTCTACCGTCGGGACATAAAATTTAGGGCGGCACTTGAGACAGTCATGAACTTATTTGTAGGACGGCTTAATGATAACAGTCGTAATATTTAATAATCTTTTAAAAATATAAGGACGGTAGGTGTATACTGTCGTGAAACGCGTCTCTATAATAGAGTTACGACCGTTATCAAGTAACTGTCGCAATTTTTGTGTCGTAAAACTCTAATTTTCTTGTAGTGATTGTGCGAGTGTCCTCTATCTTCTTTTTGGTGATAGGCCCTGCATCCTTTTGGTGTCAGGATTGTGTGCGTGTGTCGCTCTATCATCCTTTTGGTGCTAGACTGTGTGAGTGTTCTCTATCATCCTTTTGGTGATAGACCCTACATCCTTCTGGTGTCGGGATTTTGTGCTTGTGTCACTCTATCATCCTTTTGGTGATAGGTCTGTCATCATATTGGTGCCAGATTGTGTGAGTGTTCTCTATCATCCTTTTGGTGATAGGCCTGCATCCTTTTGGTGTCGGGATTAAGTGCGTGTGTTGCTCTATCATCCTTTTGGTGATAGGTCGGTCATCATTTTGGTGCCAGAGTGTGCGAGTGTTCTCTATCATCTTTTTGGTGTTACGCCTGCATCCTTTTGGTATCGGGATTGTGTGCGTTTGTCGCTCTATCATCCTTTTGGTGACGGGTATGTCATCCTTTTGGTGCCAGATTGTGCGAGTGTTCTGTATCGTCCTTTTGGTGATAGACCCTACATTCTTCTGGTGTTGGGATTGTGTGTGTCTGTCGCTCTATCATCCTTTCGGTGATGGGTCTGTCATTCTTTTGGTGCCAGATTGTGCGAGTGCTCTCTATCATCCTTTTGGTGATAGGCCTGCATCCTTTTGGTGTCGGGATTGTGTGCGTGTGTCTCTCTATCATCCTTTCGATGATGGGTCTGTCATCTTTTTGGTGCCAGATTGTGCGAGTGTTCACTATCATCCTTTTGGTGATAGAGCCTACATCCTTTTAGTG